AGAGGCAGAGGGAGAGGCAGAGGGAGTGGGGGAAGCAGAGGCAGAGGCAGAGGCAGAGGCAGAGGCAGAGGCAGAGGCAGAGGGAGAGGGAGAGGGAGAGGCAGAGGTAGAGGCAGAGTGAGAGGCAGAGGCAGAGGGAGAGGCAGAGGCTGAGGCGGAGGCACAGGCAGAGGCAGAGGGAGGGAAAGAAAGAGGCTCAGGCAGTTAAGTATCAGACTCTAGATTGCAGCGCAGATCATGATCTCACAGACCCTAGTCAGTGTCTGTGCTGAAAGCCTGGAGCCTGCCTGGGATTCTTGCTCTCCCTTTCTTTCTGCCCCTCTCCCTCTCGGGCTCTCTCTCTCTGAAAAATAAGTATTACACTGTGTCAATTAGCTATTATTTGAATAAAATCTTTGAAGAAGAAATAAAAGAAATAAAATCTCTATCAGTTATCTAGTAGGTGGGTCAAAGAGAAGTTAAAACCTATTTGGACCTTTGAAAATCCAACTAAATCTCTACCTAACCACCTAGTATCTGAAGTTAGCAACAGGACTTTTACTCTGATTTTCTTCCTATTTTGTGACCTCCACGTAAACAGGCAAAACCTTACATACTGAAAAGGACTGTCCTGATAAAAGTTATAAAAAGTTGGCCAAAATATACATTTCACTAACAGACCTTAACATATATATTGAACGATTTAAAATAGTATTTTGATTATAGTAATTTAGGATTGTCACTTTCTCATTAGAAACTAATGACCTGGGAAACCTGGGTGGCTCAGTCACTTAAGCATCCAACTCTTCATTTTGGCTCAGATCATGATCTCATGGGATTCTTGGGATTCTCTCTTTCTCTCTCTTCCTCCCTCCCCCAATTGCACTGTTTCTCTCTAAAAAAATAAATAAATAAACTTAAAAAAAGCAAGTCGTTTGAAGTATGAACAACAGAGGATCCTGTAAATCAAAAACCAAAAAACAGCCAACTGATGCAGGAGCTGTTTAATACTTATTTTTTCACTTTTAAATGTTTTTGTTTGTTTTTGAGAGTTGAAAAAGACAGAGCATGAACATGAGCAGGGGAGAGGCAGGGAGAGAGACAGACACACACAGAATCCAAAGCAGGCTCCAGGCTCTGCGCTCTCAGCACAGAACCTGACATGGGGCTCAAACTCACAAACCGTGAGATCAACACCTGAGCCAAAGTCAGATGCTCCACCAACTGAGCTACCCAGGCGCCCCTAATATTTTTGAATTGCAAATAGTTTGCATCTGACTTTATTACTCCAACTATAATAGGAAAGAACACATCTTATTTAAGTTGGTATCAAAAAACTATGGCAAAAAGGTATGTTAAGGACAAGAGAATAAAATGACCAGAGCTATCAATATTTAAACTCTAACCTACTACTAAGATTATAGAACACTTGAACATTCTTAGTCATTGTACAAAGGAAATTTAAGCAACTTAGAGAATTCCATCTTCAAGTTAAATCTGTGTTGAATTAGATGAGGTTGATAGCGCCTTAAATATTGTATTGAAATGAATACACATATAGAAGAACCTCAGATGCAAACAAAATAAATGGTATTTATATAACATGATATTTGACTATTTTATAATACAGAGTCCTGCATACCAAAATTGTGGAAGTTAAACAACATGCTATTAAACTACCAAAGGATTAGGGCACCTGAATGGTTCAGTCCACTAAGGCTCCAAGTTGGGCTTAGGTCATGATCTCAGGGTTAGTGGAATGAAGACCCACGTTGGCCTCAAGCACCACATCAGGCTTGCTGCTGTCAGGTAAGAGCTGCTTCAGATCCTCTGTTCCCCCTTCTCTCTGTCCTTCCCCCACGTGTGTGCACTCTCTAACAAAAATAATAAAAATAAACACCAAGAAAGTCATAATACTTCACACACACACACACACACACACACACACACACACACACAAACGACCAAAGGATCAAAGTACAAATCACAATATAAAATACTTGATAACAAATTAAAGTGAAAATACCGCATACAAGCCACAGCAAAATCAGTAAAAGGGGGAAAATTTAGTTGTCAATACTTAACATAATAAGCAGAAAAGGTCTCATATCAATGATCTAATTTTATACCTTAACTAACCAGAAAAAGAAAAACCTAAAGCTACAAAGAAGAAAATAAAGATTAGACATTAAGTGAAAGAGAAAAAAACTAATAGAGAAAATCACTGAAACCAAAAGTTGGCTTTCAAAAAGATCAACTGGGGCACCTGGGTAGCCTAGTCAGTTAATCATCTGAGTTGGGTTCAGGTCAAGATCTCACGGTTCATGCTGACAGCTCAGAGCCTGGACCCTGCTTCAGGATCTGCGTCTCCCTCTCTCTGCCCCTCCCCACCTTGTGCTCAGTGTCTGTCTGTCTGTCTGTCTGTCTGTCTGTCTGTCTGTCTCCCTCTCTCTCTCTCTCCCTCAAAAATAAATAAACATTTTTTTTAAAGATCAATAAAGCTGACTAACCTTTAGCTGTATGGACTAAGAAAAAAGAACTAAGACTCAAATTTCTAAAGTCAGAAATAAAATGGGGAACTACTACTGAGCCTACAAAAATAAAAAGTATTATGTGAGCACTTTGAAGTTGTATACTGACAATTTGTATAGTCTAGATGAAAGATAGGCTTATAAAACAAAATTCATCAAGAATACATCACAAAAAAATGGATAACTCTTTCATGGAATCCTGTACCTGAGCTACAACTTTATCCAACTAACAGTTTAATTATGATTCTGTATTCTTCAAGATGAAACATTAAGCTGGACTGTTCCTGACCAGCAAGAAAGAAATTATGTGTCACCAGAATCTTGGTCTTTTCAGGGTATTACAAAATCCTACAGACTGGATGGCTTATAACAGCAGAATTTTATTTCTCACAGCTGTGAATACTGGAAGTCCAGGATGCACATGCCAATCGTTCCTGTTTGTGTTCTGCTGAGCGCCTTCTGAAACTTTCTTTCTAACACTGACCCTAATTACCTCCTAAAGGCCACTCTTCCTAATACCATCATCATCTTAACCATGTTAAGGTTTCAACAGAAGAATTTTAAGGATTGCACAATCAGACCATAACAACTAGCAAACACTAGCAAATATTAGTGTAATTTACATAAGGAAAATCTTTAGACAAACTATATTTGTTACAGGAACAAGTAAGAAAAAAGATGTTTTGAGTGGCTCTCTACTTAACACAAACTGCATCGCATATGGAGGTGCTGACATTCCTGGCAGAATGTTGAGGAATATGTAAATTCAATAGCATCCTTTTATGTATAAACAGCTACATATATCAGGCAAGTTTTGATGACTTGGAAGACAATTCGTAACTCAATTCTTCAAAGATATTTTCTTTAAACTATTAAAAACAATTCCTCAGTCTCAGACACATTCCACCTAGATAAACGTTCAGGAACTTCACAGAAAAGAACCATGACCTACATTTGTGCATTTTCATTTCTTATTCTTAGATTTAACTATGTATGTATTCTGGCATCAGATTTGGCACAAGTTGTAACACTTAGGAAGTAAAATTATGGCAAAGTGAGATGAAACAATATGAAAGTTTATTCTCATCTCTATTTGTTAGATTTATAATGTTGAAACCAGGTGAAAGTGTATTTACTCATTGCTAAAAAAATCCTCAGGAAAATAACTATGCTTTACAAACTACCTGATGAATCCTTTCCATTAATGTGGTGTAAGCTTTAACAGTAGTAGTGGTAACTAGCCTCGCTTTTAATTCCACCTTATTACAGTTGATAACTCTGAAATAAACAGAAGGTCAAATAGAAAGATTATGGTCTAAACTCCTACTAAAATACACACAGAAGTTGCTACATAAGATAAAATACACCAATAACAAAGCGAGGAAAAACACACTCAACAACACATTTTATTATATTTCTCAGTGGTGGTTCCCGTTACCCCAGCTAAGGGATAGTTTAAGAAAAACTTACTTTATGGAAGTTATTATAAAATTAGTTTTTCATTATACATTGTAATTTAATTGCTCATAAAGTCCAAAATTATGAGTTACAATGCACATGACTTTGACAATAAATCACATATGTTACCATAACCTTTCCTGTATAAGAAATATCCTACTTATTTCACAATCAGAGCTATCTTATTTGAAAAATTTTCTATAAATATTAAGTAAAAACACTCCCAACTTATATGTCAATACTTCAAATATAAAGATAACCAGGTTTCCTAGCCCTGAATTTTTGCAACTACTAACATTACAAATTGAAAAATGTTATTTAAACTGATGTCCTAAAACTGCAATTTGGAAATGCTTTTTCTTTTATGATGGTGGCAACATAAAATGATGAAAGTAATGTGTAAGTTATCAAGCTTAGAATGAAATACATATGGCTACGTAAATATGAAAATAGCCCCCTTTCTTGACTTTAAGTGTGGACTTCCACCTTCCTTAAATTATATCAAAAATCTTACAGAACATCTAGGTAACTCGAATATACATAAAGATTCTGTTAACATACTAGCTGGAACATGGTTTACCAAAACCTATGATGGTAAGGCAATTTATTCAAAACACCTATTAACTAGAATAAAATAGTCACAGTGGAAAAGACATTTCTTCTTCGTTTCTCTCTACTGTTTAACAGCAGGTATTATAGTCTTTCCCCCCTAAGTTCCATTATATCCAAACAATAAAATTTCACTTAAATAATTCAGCTAAATCAGTTTTTAGAGAAATATAATACTTTTAAACAATGAAAATAAATCAGCTTGTCTTAACAAAATACATTCATACTAAATGATGTTTTAGTCTTCTTTTAACAGGTGATAGCCAAAATCCAAATTGTAGAACAATCCTCAGAAACCATGTTCAATTTAGATCTGTAAGTGAAAAAAAAACATGAAATCCACTGAAAACTAATTCTTACAATACAATAAATAGTCTACTGCATAATAAGGACCCTTTATACTACCTGCAAAATAAAGCCTTGGAATGAAAAATTTTATATACTAGGTATTTCTCAATTCCTGTCTGTTGCAGTCATTATGAACTCTCTGAGAATGTTATGTTATGCAAATTATTCTGAATGACATTTACAATCTCCTTCTTTATTTTCATGCTGGTGACTTGAGATCTTACATTTTGAGAGTGGGAACACTGTCACATGTGGAAGTATAAGCGCCTTAAAAATTAAATGATATTAAAAATTAAATTATAAGTACCTTAAAAATTAAAAATTAGGAAAGTCTGGTCCTAAGCCAAAATATCCTCTTCATGTTCACATACACTTCTACTTCAGCTCCTACCTAGCCTTTGAACCTAACTCAGCTGTCAAAAAGTTCATGTCTGTCCTTAATGCACAATGCAATTGTTACATTAAGTTTTGACACAGAAAATAATCACCCTACTGTCAGAGGATTAATTTAGTCGTAAGAATACTCTGGCTCATGGTCCACAAATAAGGTACATAAAGAAAATTTTAACAATATTTGCTTCTTCGTCCTTTTTTATTTCCTACTTCTAGGTATGTTTTAAAATGTATACAACTTTAAAAAAATTTTTTTAAACGTTTATTTATTATTGAGAGACAAAGAGAGAGCATGAGCAGGGGAGGAGCAGAGAGACAGGGAGACACAAAATCTGAGGCAGGCGCCAGGCTCTGAGCCATCAGCACAGAGCCCAATGTGGGGCTCGAACCCACGAACTGAGAGATCGGACGCATAACCAACTGAGCCACCCAGGTGCCCCTAAAATGTATACAACGTCCATTAAATAGTACTATATGTTTAAAAATGCATAAATACATGGTAAAAAAAAAAATCTGATAAAAAGCTACACTGGACGTATGTACTCAACTTTCTTCAATTCATGGAATAATCTAAATGATTTGGAAATATATTAAAAAATAATATGGATCTGTAGCTGAATAGAAGGACTGGTCTGGTAGATCAAGTATAGAAAAATGTAAATTGTCTAATCTTGGTACTATATGTAAAGGCGTTCATTTCACTTCAAAAACTTCCAACTTCTCTGAATGTCTAAAAATGCTCTTAATAAAATAAAGGGCTTTGTTGGTGATTAAAAGATTTGGAAATCCCCGATCTAGATCAATGATTACCAACGTGACAGCAGCATCAGCATCATGTGTAGTGCTCGACTTACACTTACCAAAGACTGGCTTTGTATTTTTGAACAACTCTACTAATTGTGCTGCACAGTATTTGTCAGGAATAAATGCTCTACACATTTTTAAATTCCAAGTATTAAATCCAAGACTTAACACTAATATTTTTGGATTTGTGGTCTCTGAATTACTTTTTTATTGCAGAGGTATTAAAAAAAAAAAAAAAAGTCTAAGCCTGATAGAAATCTAAGATATATCACCATGCCAATTATTTCATCCACACATGCCAAGAAAATCATGATGAATTTTATTTACATACAGTAACAGCAAAACAGTGAGACATTCATTACTTTTATTGCTCTAACTGCTTTATTACTAAGAGAAATAACCACGTTCCACAAAACACTGACACGTGATAAAATTGTAATCCCAATACATAAGTTGACAACAGACCTCCGGTTTGAAGTATATTGCAATTTGAATGCTTGAGCAAGCTGGCTCAAACAAGACTCTTCTTTTTACATACTAGTATTTCATCTAGGAGAAGGTACATTCTCAAAACTGCTACATTTCTTAATAGTTACCTCTCATTAAAGCAAGTTATCATCATGAAGTATCTATGTTAGAGGAAACAATATTGCTCTTTTCAGAAAGAAATGCTTCAAAGGCCTGTAAGGTTTCTCAGAGAAAAGAAATGTTTAACTAGATGGTTTCAGAACATGAACGAACATTCAAATGAAAGGAGTGGTCTCAACAAGATACCGAATTTAAGTGTTCAACATTCCCAGATTAAAGGTTTCCTTGTATGTAATTCATAAATAAAAGAAATAATGAACAGAAGGTTTTATCCACTACTTACATCATCAATGTCTTCATCGTCATCTCCAATATCATCAAACTGGATTTCATCATCATCTCCAGGACCAAACGTATCTGTTTCATTGATTTTAGCTGAAGACAATAATTAATATACTTATATACATATATTCATGATGTTATTAGATAAACTGTCTATAAAAAGAAAGAAGTCTGGGGCACTTGGGTGGCTCAGTTGGTTAAGCCTCTGACTCCTGATAAGAGCTTAGCTCTTGATACTGTGATTGTGAGATGAAGCCCCAGTGGGATTTTCCAACTCCCCCTCTCTCAACACTCCCCCTGCTTACACATAAATACAGAAAAAAAAAAAAAAAAGAAAGAAAGAAAAGAAAAAATAAAAAGAGAAGCAGCAGCCTGATATAAAATACAAACTATATTAGAAAAAGATTCTTTAGAAGTGGTATTTCAATTCAACCAACATTTCATTACACGAAAAATACTGCTAACTTGTGTGGAACAACCCATCACACAGAGAAAATTCACAATGAAATAAGAAGTTCAATGCTAAGTCATTACAATGAAGGGTGTATGTGTGTACTTTTATTTTGTTCAAAACTGTAGCGTAAATAAAGCAGGCAGGTTCTAATTACACTTAGTAGTTATATATTTCCCAAGTATGCTTCAAGGAGCTTTTCTGTGTTTTATTTTTCAAGGAGTTTGAAACAGGCTAGGAGCTTACTGTCAGCATACATAAAGTTCTCCTAAGAACAGCTAGCCTCTCAACTATTAGACTTACCAAACCTGTCAAAGAGTTAATTAAATCACTTTTATCCCTAAGCAATAAGAGTTTAACACTTTTAAAATGCAAATAATTTCATCAGAAATTTCAGGCTTATGGAAAAATCTTGTGTTTTCATGATAAAATTCAATACAGTAAAACATATAAAAGAAAATAGCTGCCAAGTGAAAACTGAGCTTAGCAAAAAGTTTGTTTTCTCTTTGATATTATGATCGCTTTAATTTTACTACAAGGAGAATACAATAGGTTTGCCGTTAGAAAGAAATGTCTCCTAAAACACACACAACACTACAAAAGACTATCATGCTAAGAAGAATTGACCATTGTTTTCAATAAAAATCAGTACCAAGATCTTAATTATTTGCCTCACCTAGTTAAAAACTAGCAATTTCTTGAAAATTGCTAAAATCCTCTAACAATGTATTCTTTAAGTTATTATACAACAGGGCTTATAAACTATTACACTTATTAATATTTAGTATAACAAATACAATAAAAATAAATTTCATAATAACTACATACCCAAACAATATATAAACAAGAGAAAATTCCATCAAACTGTTTCATGTAAATGCCAACAATAATCTCGTAAGACAGCAAAATACAGTAACTTTGACATTACCATGTTCTGGAAGCTCGCCATATGCCTTCAGACTTCTAGCTTCATCTGCATTGTATTTTAAAATTACATCAGCTTTGTTATCCTTAGAAATAAACAAATAACTTTTAACTAATTATACCAAAATTGATTTTCCCACACTGATTATACCCATAATTAGTTTCAAATCAGCACATTAAGATAAAAAGCTCACTGTTGTTTTAGACTTTTTCTTCACCTACTCCCTACTTTCTTAAAAAAAATTCTTGGCTTTAAACAGGTAGAAAGAAGTTTACATGCATGACTAAACAATGATTTACAGCCTAATATTCACTTTAGTAAGAGAGATAAAAGAAAAAAAAAGTAAAAAAAAAAAAAAAGAGCAAGAGAGAGACAGAGAGGGAGAGAAGGTGTAATATGATACTTTTAAAGATCAAACACTGCACTTCAAACCAGAAAGTGGTATAATTATGTAAGAATCAACATACGTTTCTTTATTTAGTCATTCTTAGGATACCTTACTTATGAGAATCACTTGTAGAGTTTTAAAAAGATAACTATGACTCCTAAAAATTGACATACCTGAGATAAAGTCCAAAATTCTGTATTTAAAAACCTCTTTGGGAGTTTCTAATACAAAATAGTTATTGTTAACTATTGTATCAGGGACATAATTATTATTATTACATTATTAGTGTAATTTTGATATGTTCACACTTCATTATTTTATTTTATTTTTAACGTTTATTTATTTTTGAGACAGAGAGAGACAGAGCATGAACGGGGGAGGGTCAGAGAGAGGGAGACACAGAATCTGAAACAGGCTCCAGGCTCTGAGCTGTCAGCACAGAGCCCGACGCGGGGCTGGAACTCACGGACTGCGAAATCATGACCTGAGCCGAAGTCTGCCGCTTAACCGACTCAGCCACCCAGGAGCCCCACACTTCATTATTTTAAAGAATCGATTCATTCAGAGAGAAAATAAGAGTTTGAAAGTTTACAATTACCTAAAAGATACCTGAAGAAAGGCAACTAAAATTATCACAGTGCTGCTGTTGGTGGGAATGCAAACTGGTGCAACTGCTCTGGAAAACAGTGTGGAGGTTCCTCAAAAAATTAAAAATAGATCTACCCTATGACCCAGCAATAGCACTGCTAGGAATTCACCCAAGGGATACAGGAGTGCTGATGCATAGGGGCACTTGTACCCCAATGTTTATAGCAGCACTTTCGACAATAGCCAAATTGTGGAAGGAGCCTAAATGTCCATCAACTGATGAATGGATAAATAAATTGTGGTTTATATACACAATGGAATACTACTTGGCAATGAGAAAGAATGAAATATGGCCTTGGGTAGCAACGTGGATAGAACTGGAGAGTGTTATGCTCAGTGAAATAAGTCAGTGAAAGAAAGAAAGATACCATATGTTTTCACTCTTATGTGGATCCTGAGACACTTGACAGAAGACCATGGGGTAAGGGAAGGGAAAAAAAAGGTTAGAGAGGGAGGGAGGCAAACTTTAAGAGACTCTTAAAAACTGAGAATAAACTGAGGATTGATGCGGGGTGGGAGGGAGGGGGTGGGTGATGGGCACTGGAGAGAGCACCTGTTGGGATGAGCACTGAGTGTTGTATGGAAAGCAACTTGACAATAAATTTCATATTTAAAATAAAATAAAAATAAAATAAAATAAAATAAATGAAATAAAATAAAATAAAATAAAATAATTATCACAGTGCTGCAACTACAGTGTGCTATAAACCAACACTTGACAAACAGCAATGTACATACAAAACACACAGGGATTCTGTTAAAATACTAATTTAGAGTCAGCAAATATGAGACTGGTCTATCACTCTGCATTTCTAATACGCTTCCATATGCTGGTGTAATTTCTGGACAGCAAGGGCACAAAATTATTCCCAAAAAGGTAAGATTAGAAGAGCTGGTCCTGGCTATTAGTTTACAGTTAGAAAAACAAACCTTTAAGATTCTGGTTTCATTGTCCATAAAAGGAATTTAATAACTACTCTCTCTCCATATTTGGGGTTTATATGAAGTTAAAACAAGATAATGAACATAAAAATGATACATTTGTATAAAGGATCACAAGATTTAATTAGAAAATATATAAAAACAAAAAAAATCAACATATGATCAGATTCAGTCTATAAAAACGGACACAGAAAAATGCATACAGTGAGGTAACTGGATACAAAATCAAAATACAAAACTCAATGTGTCTCTCTACACACTACCTATAAACTAGTTGAAAAACTTTCAAAGAAAACAATCTCATTTACAATAGCACCAAAAAACAAAATACTTCAGAATAAGTATATTTTTTTAACATTTTACTTTTAAGAAATCTCCACACCCAATATTGGGTATCAATTCACAACCCTGAGATCAAGAGCTGCATGATCCCAACTGACCCAGCCAGGCGACTCCTTAAAGGTAAATTTCACCAACACTGCAAGTTAGTTTTTAGTTCAATATATGCAAATCAATCAATATTATACACCATATTAATAAAAGAAAGAATAAGATGATTATTTCAATAGATGAAGAAAAAGTATCTGACAAAGTACAACACCCATTCATGACAAAAATCCTCAACAAACTAAAGACAGAGGGAACATAACATCATAATGGACAATACAAAAGACTTATAGCTCATATCACCCTGAATGGAGAAAAACAGACAGCTTTTTCCCCTATGGCCAGGAATAAGACAGGCGTGTTGACTCTCATCACAGTTATTTAAAATGGTATTGGAAGTCCTAGCCTCACCAATTACACAACTAAAAGACACCGAAATCATTAAAGAACTCAAACTTTCACTATTTACAATGACACGAAACTCTTATGAGAAAACAAAATACTCCATCAAAAACTGTAGATGTGACATACCAATACAGCAAAGTTACAGGATACAAAAATCAATGTACAGAAATCTGTTGCATTGCTATTCACCAATAATGAAGCAACAGAAAGAGAAATTAAGGAATCAGTCCCATTTATAATAGCACCAAAACTATAACATATCTAGAAATAAATCTGAGCAAAGAGGTGAAAGATCTGTACTCTGAAAAATACAACACTGATGAAAGACTTTGAAGAGGACACAAAAAATGGAAAGACAGGGGCGCCTGGGTGGTGCAGTCGGTTAAGCGTCCGACTTCAGCCAGGTCACGATCTCGCGGTCCGGGAGTTCGAGCCCCGCATCAGGCTCTGGGCTGATGGCTCAGAGCCTGGAGCCTGTTTCCCATTCTGTGTCTCCCTCTCTCTCTGCCCCTCCCCCATTCATGCTCTGTCTCTCTCTGTCGTAAAAATAAATAAACGTTCAAAAAAAGAAAATTTTAATTAAAAAAAAAAAAAAAGGAAAGACATTCCATGCTCATGGATTGGAAGAACAAATATTACAATGTCCACATTACTCAATGCAATCTATACGTTTATTTCAATCCCTATGAAAATACCAACACCATTTTCCACAGAGCTCAAACAATCCTGAAATTTGTATGGAACCATGAAAAAAGCCAAATAGCCAAAGCAAACTTGAAACCAGAAAAGCAAAGCTAAAATTGGAAGCATCACAATTCTAGACTCTGAATTATATTACAAAGCTGTAGTGATCAAGACAGTATGGTACTGCACAAAAATACACACACAGATCAATGTAACAGAATAGAAAACAGACAACTGAATCCACAACTGTATAGTCAATTAATCTTCAACAAAGCAGAAAAAAATAGAGACAAAGTTGAACAAATGGGGTTGGGAAAACTGGACAGCTAAATGCATACAAATTAAAATGGACCAGTGTCTTACCCAATGCATACACACAAAAAAAATTCAAAATGGATTAAAGACTTAAATGTCAGATCTGACTTCATAAAAATTCTAACAGCACACGCAGAGTGACCTTTTTCACATTAGCCACAGAAATTTCTTATTAGATGTCTTTTGAAGCAAGGAAACAAAAGAGGAATTCACCAAAATAAAAAGTTTTGTTCTCTTTCCTTTGCTCCTTTTTTCACCCCATTTTTGTTCCAGGGCTACTTCTGCAAACCATCAAAGCATACCTCATTGAAGGTTCAAACGCTCCACCACTGCAACCAAGGAGGAGCTCTGCAGAGCAATACCAGTGGGAAGGAGCAGACAAAACAACAGCACAGTGCACAGAGCATAGACCAGAAATACATCCTGAAGTGCCAGATTCTGGACAGTGTAAGACCTGTTTTAATATAGCAGTACTCTTAGGTACAGGAAACATAACAAGCTTTCAAGACATGCAAAACACAGAAACTGAGCCAAAATAACTAGAGAAATTCTTCCCAAAAGGAGGTCAAGAAGAAATCACAGCCAAGGACTTGCTCAAAAGACATAAACAATATATCTGAACAAGATATATCAAGTCATGATACAAATACCTGAGCTTGAGAAAAGCACAGAAGATATCAGAGAAATCCTTGCTGCAAATATCACAGACAGATGACCTAATCAGCTGGGGGAAAAAAAAAAATTAACCTGAGATGCAAAACAGACTGCATAGTCACAATGAGGGTTGAAGAATCAGAAAGAATAGGTGAAATAAAAGATAAAATTATAGAAAATAATGAAGCGGGAAAAATGAGGGAAAGGAAATTAACAGATCCCCAGGGGAGTATTAGAGAACTAAGTGATTACAGGGGCTCTTGGGTGGCTTGGTCAATTAATCATCTGACTTAGGCTTAGGTCATGATCTCACAGTAAGTTCAAGCCCCACATCAGGCTCTGTGCTGACAGCTCGAGCCTGGAATCTGCTCCAGATTCTGTATCTCCCTCTCTCTCTGCCTCTTGCCTGCTCGTATTCTGTCTGTCTCTCTCTCAAAAGTAAATAAACATTGAAAAAAAATTAAAAAAAAAAAGAGAACGAAGTGATTTCATGAAATGATACGGTATCTACATCATAGAGTCCCAGAAAAGAACAGTATGAAAAAGGGGCAGAAGGTTTACTTGAACAAATTACAGCTGAGTACTTCCCTAATGTGGGGATGGAAACCAGCATTCAGTTCCAACAGGCACAGAGAACTCCCTTCAAAATCAACAAAAACATG